TATGCCCAATTCAATATTTTTTTTTCTGCTGGAGAATTCTTGAAAATTCTCGAGAAATATTTAAAAGACTTTATAAGAAAATTTTTTTTTCAAAAAAAAAACTTTGCCAAATTTTCGAAAAATCTTGTTTATTTTTTTCCTGCTGAATTCAATTAAATTATAAGTGCAAATAGAAAAAATAGAAAAAAATGGAAAAAATTGGAAAAGAGGAGAAAAAGGGAAAAAGGGAAAAAGAGAAAAAGGGGAAAAGGGAAAGGTGAATGGCCTGTCGATTAAATTCATCACGAATTATTTTCCCCAAGCCGAAATACTTGGATGTAGTATAATGAAACATCTCGCCTACAGGTTCAACTGACTGGAATTAATTCAATCCGACGTGATCTCCCCTAGTACAAACACCTGTGATTGCAGCGAAAGCGGTAAAGCGCAATATTAGATACGTGACATGAAATAACAGGGTATATCTAACTAACCGTGTAATCGTGGTGAGGACAGGTCGTCTTTCACGTGTGTCCAGGGAATTCACCCGTGGACTCTTATTGAGCTGAAAAAAAAAATGGTAAATGAGCAATCGTCGATTGGTGAATGGTGAGATAATCTCTCTATTTTCGAAACGCCGGGCGTAAAATGGTCAGTGACACATAAAGAGCATTTTTTCGAGTATTAGCTGAAGAGGCCCATCGAAGACCCTTCGACTACCTGTGTTGATTGTCGACACAACAAATCTGTGATCTTTATCTCAGTCTTTTTTTTTTCCTTTTCAGAATCGCTAATGGGCCTTAACCTGCAGGATTACGATTGCATCGTGATAGCATTCGTTGTTTTTTATTCATCATTCTGGACGCGGATAAAAATGGAGATATCAGGGAATAGTTCGGATAATCAGGATGTGAAGACGATTTTTATACCGGAATATTGGGGGTTTTTTCGGAGGGCTTTTGAACCAAAAGAAAAAACTGAAAAAAATCACAATTTCGCCTTTTGCCTGGGTAAAAAAATTGTAATCGCAATATTTTTTCCAAATTTTCAAAAAATTTCTGGAAAACTTTTCAGAATTTTTGTCCTCGAAACAAAACGAACGGAAATAAAACAATTGTATTTTTGGGAAATGTTTTGAAAAATTCTTCAAACATTTCTTTCGGAAATTTTTTTTTTTGTAATTTTCTAGAAATTTTTGCGAATATATTTTTTTTTAATTATACTGTTGCTTTCTTACTTTTTAAATTTTTCAAAACCTTTCCCAGAAATAAAATTCTTTTGTTTTTCCATTTTTTTTTCTGTTCCATAAAAAAATTTCTGAAAAATTTTCCAGAAATTTTTTGAAAATTTGGAAAAAATAATATTTAATGGAAGTCGTGTGTAAATAAATAATAAAAATAAATCAATGGCTAAACACAATCTCTGGGTATCTCATGTCCATATGGGAGGATTATCCCTTCCTATCTGACCCATCATCACCGATTTTTATTATTCACCGCATTAATTTCAAATCACGACACCACTGCATTGCACCGCAAACGAGCGTCAGGAAATTAGACACCTTATGAACGATTGCATGTAATGCCTAGTGGCCTCTCGAGCCTCTCGTCTTTTATGACAATCGATTTTCACTCCTCTCCGTTTTATCGCGCATTCCCAAGCGTCTACTAAAATTTTTCACATCGAATGACAGGACTAATTGAATAAAAATATCCAACAATGAGCAAGGATTTCTCCGCAATGACAGGTGCCGTCGATATATCGAATCGAACGATCCAATTGCTCGTGGTCATTTTTCGTCACGATTGAAAAATTACGGAGTACTTCTAGAGAATGATTCCATTTCCTCTTTTTGAAAAATCTAGATGCAACGATTTTTAAATGAAATTAATTCAGAAAAATAATGATTTCGTAATTATCATTTTTTTATGAAAATATTTGAAAATATTTTGAATTAAAGATTTTTTTTATTGAAAAATTCAATTTCATTTTTTGAATATATTGTTGTAAATTTTTTTATTGCCGCAATTTTTTTTTTACTAAAAAATTCAATTTCATTTCTTGAACTGAATATATTATGAATTTTTTTATTGCCAACATTTTTTTTATTAAAAAATTCAATTTCATTTTTTGAACTGAACCTATTGTTGTGGATTTTGAATCGAAATTAACGGGGAAATTTCGTAATTTAAATACTTCGGTTAACTCACCGTGAAAAGCTGAATTTTATCCTGCGAAGTGATTTTGAAGTGCGTCGATGGGAGAGAACAGTCCTGCGGGAAAGTTCTGTAAAAAGTCATTTTGGAATGCAATTAAACGCAGTAGCGTGAAATCCGAAGCTCTGCCGAGCTTCATCCCTCCATTCTCCTTCTCAAACGTTCACCTATACACCAACCATATTTCAAATACCTGGTTCATAGTTGTTTGTACTTCGTCCTTATCCAATCTGAAACCAGTTCCAAACAAAAAGAATTTAATTTACAAGAGAAAACCAAGGGGAAACGGTGCATCATTGGCACTTACAAAATTTTCATTAAAACTCATCGACCCATTAGAATTAATTAAATAATTCTTCATTAAAAAAGTAAAACATTATTTTACTTTCAATAATTAATTACTCAAATTATCCAAATGCATTTTAAAAAAAAATTCTATATGAGATTCAAATATTAATTTTTTTCTGAAATGAATTTGGAGTTCGTTTAAGTAATTAATTTTTTAACATAAAATTAATTAATACTTGAATTCGCATTTGGGGGGTGTGAGGAAAATTGTTCGATGTGGAAAAATATATGAGTCGCTGGGTGAAAATAAAAAATATTTTCGGCGGGACGATCTGGTGAACTCTTTTGAATATTTGGAGAAGTGGACAGAGATATCACGTGTGTGGAAAGATGGTGAAATGGGAATGAAGATTCTCACGGGGTGGATTATGTACACGTTTATAACGGGGGTGTTGAGAGGAGACAAAATGGCGTCCCGGAGGGAAACACGACACCAAATCGAAGTAGACGCCATCGTGAAATCCATGAACCGCCCCTATCCTCCCATCCCAAGATATAAGCCGTTTTGAGAATTCATTAAATCCATCCGGTGGGTAAAAAATTAATGAACAATTAAATCAACGCCATTTATTTCAAATTTCTCTCAAAATTCAATCCAAAAACCGAAATAATTCCTATTTTCCAGAGAAAATTTCCAATTGGAAATTTAAAAAAACAAAAAAACAATCTGTTTATTTTTATTTCCAACATTCCATTGGGTTACTTTTTTTTTTAATTTAAATAAAAAATTCATTGAATTAATTGTATTAAAGAAGAAAAATTAAAATTTAAAAAATTTTTTAAATTGAGACAGGGGAGATGTAATTAAGGTTTAATTGCCTGTTGGTTTGGAGACTGTGGGTGGGAATCCGATCATCCGTATGAGAGCAAGGATTTGAAAAAAAACTTGTGACTTGCCAGGAATAGGACGCATTTGTCAGCAATTAGTGATGTGAAAGGCGGAGTTGTATGCAAAGGATTGTCGAGGCGTGGCTAAAAGTGACTGCTTCACTTTTCCTCTGACTTCTTCCGACGAGATGTACAATTTTGGCTCGTCAATCGTCAGCTGAAAACGGTGTCCATTGATCTACATTATCCTTTCAACCAGAGTACCAAAAAAAAAATGCGGATTTTCATTTTCGACGTTGTACCAAAAAAATATAAAAAAAAAAATTGCGGATTTTTATTTTCGACGTTGTACCAAAAAAATATAAAAAAAAAATTGCGGATTTTTATTTTCGACGTTGTACTAAAAAAATATCAAAAAAAAAATTGCGGATTTTCATTTTCAACGTTGTACCAAAAAAATATAAAAAAAAAATTGCGGATTTTCATTTTCGACGTTGTACCAAAAAAGTATTAAAAAAAAATATATATATATCGGATTTTCATTTTCGATGTTGCAAATGAAAAACCTGACATGCTAAATATTTTTACCAATTTACAGCTGCAGACAAGTCGATAAAATTTGCAATCGCTGAGTGACAGGAGTCGCAAGAATTTTTCTGTGCACCCATTAACGTCAATAATTATTAATAAAATAAAATAATGCAGGAAATATTATGAAAAATTTGTAATTGACACAATAAATACTCGAAGTTTTGAGACAGGAACTGTGAATCTCTCCAGGAGTCCTCGAGTGATCTCGACTGGATGGGAATTGATAACCCTGATAAACTCAAAGACCCACCGCAACAGCTTTCGACCCATTGGCCAAACAAAAAGAAAAATAAACAATAAAAAATGTGAGGATAACATTGGCGAAACAACGGTAATAATCACGGTGTAGAGTAACGTTGACACATTTCATTTCCGGTGTTTATAAGTCACTCATTGCTTCTAACAGACGAGCGATCAACAAAAATGCCATTTCCTCCAATTTCCTACGTCGTAAATAAAAAATGATGAGTCAAAATTAATGTGGGAATTGTTTTCCAAATATCTTGCCAACCACTATAGGACCACCGGAATTTCATGAATTTCCAATGTCTCCAAGAATTAGCATTAAATTTTATTTTCTTGAATCTACTGTTCGAACTCCATAACAAATTTTCTCCTCCACTCGAGAGTAAAAATTCTTGAAATTATAGAAAAAGTGAATTTTTCAAAAAATTCGTGTTCCCGCGGTTTTGAGTGACAGTTCGGTATTCCCCCCGTTGGAATATAAAAAAACCCCGGGGACACATCGGACAAAAATGCTGAAGGGTGTGAAAGCCGATAAAAAACTGGGGCAACATTTTCAAAAAAAAAAAAAAGAGGGGGGCAGCACACATGGACAGGTGATCCCCCCTCCAAGAGAGATTGATAAAAAAAAAAAGGATCGCCTGCGAATGAGAGAAATGCCAGTATCCCCCATGTAGCATTAGAGGGTTGCGCCTACCCCGGTGCCCTCGACCAATGGGAATTAATCCCGGTAATCCCCGCCCGCCAATCCCCATCGCCACTCGTTCGGTTTCCAGTCTAGTTGAGAGACACAAACGTTGCGCACCGTGCGCCCAAAAAATCCAATCCAATACGAATGGAAAAATAAAAAACAAAAGCAAAACCGAGGGATAAACGAAGGATCAGAGATACTGCTAAAAAATCAAAGTAATGAAAGTGGAAAAAAAAAAATAACAAAGAGTGGTGTACCTTCAGTAAAACTTGGTGACTTGGTCACTCAGTGAGTGTCTCATAATAATCACTGCTGACGTCTCCCAGTGTCTCGTTTTACCCCAGATATGTGTTACCAGTGATTTCCAGTATTCCACTTGACCTGGGAATGTTCAATAGTTGATAAACACCGAGGAATATCGATGGTGAAATGATTTATTTTATTCAGTACCTGGTAAAATGTGATGTTATCGAAATTCTTCTTGACACTCGCACGTCCTTGAGTTCTTCGAGGTGAATTCTCCGAAAAAATCAGTGACTGAGGGACTTGTTTTTTTTTTTTTCGGAGATACTTTTTTAGCCGATCTGTCCGTCAAAGTGATAATGTCCGAGAGTTCGGATCAATTGTCCTCGCCGAATAGCGAGTGCAACAGTCAAATGGGTCATCGGAGTGGTTATGTGAATACGATACAGGGATTATCGTTGAATCTTCATCAGCATCAGCAGAATTCAGGTGTTACGACGGGGAATAGTCCGAGGTATGGACAGGAACAGAGTGCTTGTAATTCATTGAATATTTCTAATATGGGACTCAATGTTACCGGTAGTACCGCCGATTTTACACCAGAGCAGATATCGTGCATGTGTGAGGCACTCTCGCAGAGTCATGATATTGAAAAGCTCACCAGGTATGGATTTTATTTTTATTTATTTATTATATATATATTTTTTTTAATTTATTTTATTCCCTTTAATTTTCCATTGCTTTCTTTTTTTTTAATAATTCATTAACCACATCTGAACAATTCAAGTTCAATCTGCAATATCATATTTATAATAATAATATGATAACCATTTTATTATATAATTAGCAGTAATAATCCATTTTGCAGCGTATTTTATATTATCTAGTGATATCGGGGATGCAAAATTTTCTGGGGATTTTTGAAAAGTTCTTCGTGGCTTTTGAATTAATTCTCAATGGCAGCCAGTTGCAGAAATAAATATAAAATGAGAATAAATTTCAGTTATTAGTCAGTTCTACTGAGTTATTAACAATCGTTGGATGATTTTAATGTTATTAATATTTTTGAAATGTTGAGGAACGTTTGCGGAAAAATTAATTGATTATTACCAAAAAAATTTTGATCTAGTGCAATTAGAAAAAGCGTTGTGTTTGTGGTGGGAACATTCAGAGTTTTGCATAGATGGATCGAATGTTTATTTAATAAAATGAATGAATTTTGCAGATTTTTATGGTCATTGCCGCCGGGTGAATTGGGCCGTGGAGGCGAGAGTGTTTTAATGGCCCGTGCAGCAGTAGCATTTCACCGTGGCGCTTACCACGAGCTCTATACAATTCTCGAAAGCCACCCATTCTCCCCACGACGTCATCCTGAGCTTCAACAAATGTGGTACAAATCCCATTACTGCGAGGCTGAGAAAATCCGTGGTCGCGCCCTAGGTGCAGTCGATAAATACCGTTTGCGAAAAAAGTATCCACTACCGAAAACGATTTGGGACGGTGAGGAGACGGTTTACTGCTTCAAGGAGCGATCGAGAAATGCACTGAAAGAATGTTATAAGAGAAATCGTTATCCAACACCCGATGATAAGAAAGATTTGGCCAAAAAGACTGGTCTCACCCTCACGCAGGTCTCCAATTGGTTCAAAAATCGAAGACAACGGGATCGAACGCCGCAAACCAGACCGTAAGCCATTTTTTCATTTATTTATTTATCTGTCAATCATAACAATTTAAAATTTCGGCGTATAATGGCGTTGAGAGAGAGAATTGAGTTAATTTTTAATTTGAATGGAGAGAGAATTGAGTTAATTATAACAACAGTTGGAACATTAATTATATTTAATTCGGCATTCTAATTTATCGGAGAGAATAATTACAGAAAAGTGAAAAAAATTTTGTCTTATCGAAATTTGGAATTGCCGATTGATTTCTTGGTTTGTGAATATTTATTTCTGTATTATTCATTGGTTTCTTAAGTTTCCGGGGTTTTCCACATGCATGCGAAGCACGTGGGCCCACAGGGGGTCTAGCACCCCAAAAAGCCATTTTTCCAAGTGCAACAAGTGTCCGAAAAACACATGTCCACTTTTGGTGGACCGACGGTAAATCACGCACGACCATTAATTTTCCTTTCGTTCAGCTAATTTGAAGAATATCGGTGCTTGCCATTTGGAGAAGTGATTTTCTCAGAATAAATTATTCTTGCCACTTCCAACAAATTAAATAGTAATTTTCTTCGATGTTCTATTGAATTGACTTTTTATTAAAGGGCTCACGAACTTTATCACTCGTGATTTCATTTTTGAATGAAAATTCCATCACAAATCGGTGCCGATTTCCAATGAATGGACGAATTATCCTCGGACCAATGCGTGCCGACAAAGATAATCGTAATTATACAGATGAAATAATAAAAGATAATAAAAATCGAGGAAAGGATGATTCAGAGTTCAATCCCCTTGACACGAATCATTCTTATATCAATGGAATATTCTATGGAACGTGTTGAAACGTATTTCTTTGGTTTTGTTTTGAATAAACAAATGATTAGTTCGGATCATGATAAAGGCTCGTCCATATATTTTAAGATCACGAATACAACTCGGTTGGTCCCCTGGGCCCATTGGAAAGGGGGAATTGTTGTGTCTACGGTGTTACGGTCACGACACCCGCCCAGAAATTCATTCCACCCAGGACACGAGGAAAATGTTTTTAAAAAAAAATACAAGTGGATAATTGCATGTATTTCTTTTCGGTACAGTTTGTGTCGCTAACAGATCCGCAATTCCTTCGCTAATCGTCATGAAATTTTCTCTTCATCCCTCACTCAGGGAAATAATCCCTGAAAAACGTCTGTGATAAATTGAATTCTGATACTGGTGGAGGGAATTTATTGAAAGATTTGTACAGATGGAATCTGAAAATAAAGGAACGATTTGAGGGCATGAGAATTTTTTGTGATCAGAAAAAAAATGGAAAAAGCAGGAAAAATATGAGGAAAAGATAAAAGGTGCGAATGAGAATTTCTTCGGATTTTGGATGGCCCCATTTTCATGCTTTCCGACGGAGGTTTATGTACCCCGTGAAAAAGGAAATGCGACGCCCTATTACCGTTTTATGGCGCTGGATTTGAATTACGTATCTTGTTACACTATTGAGCCTCACGGCTTCTCTCATCGCCTCTGTCCAATAGTTTTTGATGCGACGATTTTTGGGGTGGTTTATAAAGAGCCTGGGGAAGCCCCCAGGGGCCGATCTATCTGAGGGTGGAATTATTTTCAAATTGAGTGGATCTAGAATAGAAAAGTGCGCGAAAGAGATTTTTCATCTTTTATTTGAGCGATTTATTAGGAAAATCATTCGACTCAATCGTGCGATAAACACAGGGCCCTTCCAGTTGTGTTGGAAATTATTTTCGAAATAATAATTTTGGAAAATGGCGGTGCGTGCGCAAAATGCCACTTTGCGCACTGCGTGAGGAAAAGGGATTTTTCTCACTGGTTCTCACCCATTACCTGAACAAAATCATTTTCTTTTTTTTTTTGGTAGGAAAAAAATTAATGTCATGTTTGATGGTAGGATGTTAAAATCCGGTGAGTAGGCGGAGTTTCGGTTGTGGCGTGTCGTGCACACGCGCATTACATGTGTGTAAAATCGAGGGTGCGATGGAGAGTGTGACCCACCGGGTGGTAGCGGCAAAGAACAATGCCAACAACTATTTCCTTCCCTCATTTTTTTTTTTCCTCTCTATATTCTTTCTCAGAAGGCGTCTTACGTGGTTCACATCACGTGTCACATGAGCGAGAGGCCCTAGAAGTAATTGTCAGCCCGAAGAATGAAAAATGTGTGAGGCCCCAGACGAGAGAGACAATGCGCATATGGTGACGATTTTCCAGAAAATTTCATTTCGCCACGGGCTACTATTTATCGTTTCCACGTGTCCTCTTGCATTTTCTCGATTTTTTTTCCTGACAAAAAGCGAAAAAAAAACAATTCCTTTATTTTTCATTTTTTTTGTGGTTATTAGAACAAAAGATCGAGTCGTATATTATTAATAGAGGGATTTTAGTTTCCCTGCAGTAAATATATTTTCAAAGAAAAATGGAAATTTTTGGGACTTTTTAAATTTAGAAAAATTCTATCTTTCATTTTTTTTTAATCATTTGGTGAGATTTTATGGGGCAGCTTAGGCCCAAATTTCAATCCTGGGGGTCTTGATTTCTATCTCAATTATTTTGAATGAAATTTTTGGGATATTGCAAAATATTTTTTTTAGTATTCTCTCGAGGTACGTAATTGATAAAATATTGGAAGTAATCAAGGTCAGGGGATCAGATATCCCAAAGTTCATTGAACATATGTTCAAATAATGTTCCTACAACTGATAGTATCGTTGTCTCGTGAAGCTCGATTACTCTACACGTGTTCTCATTATCATGTACCGAGTACAGACTGATAAACCATTGAATATATAGCCATAACACCCCGGATAAAAAAAAATTGTGATCGGAATATTTTTTCCAAATTTTCCAAAAATTTCTGGAAAACTTTTCAATAATTCTTTTTTTTTTCAACAAAAAAAAATCGGGAAACAAAACAACTGTATTTTTGAGAAATGCTTTCAAAAATTTTTCAAAACCGTTCCAAAAATAAAATTGTTTTCCGATTTTTTTTTTGTTTCATAAAAAAAAATTTCTGAAAAGTTTTCCAGAAATCTTTTGAAAATTTGGAAAAAATATTCCGATTAAAATTTTTTAAAAGTTATAAACGAGAAAATAGTTGATATGGAAAATACATATTATGTTTTAAATTGGCGCGTAGTATAGTGAGTGCTCACGATTTGTTGTCATAATTTCCAGGGAGATGATCTCTCTAAATTGCCAAAGCACAAATGGAAACATGAGTAATGGAGTGAGCAGTACAGGGGGTCCACATCAGCCGCTGCAGCCCCTAGAGTCGAGTAGTCCAAACCTTGCGATGTCACCGATATCAACGATAGGAATGTCCCCAGTTGGAATGAACCCGTGCAGTCCAATGGGCATGAGTCCAATGGGACCCCATCATCACGGATATGCTGCACCAGTGACCCCATCATCAGTGCATTCAGCTCATCCTCACAACGGCGCCCTCAGCCCCATGAATGATGTCAAAACCCTGTGCTACGGACGTGGAGTCTACGACAGCGGTACTAAATCAATTGATAAGAAATTGAATCAAACTAGATCAATTCATCATTATTTTTAATAATTAAAGTGGTAATTGATTTTCACGCAGGAAAAGACATGGATCAAGCCGCGGTCTACTACTCCAGTCACACCGGCATGCATCATCAGTATTATCAGCAGAGTCACCACCAGATGATGACTGGAACTCATCATCATCACCATCAGCAAACAATGTCCAGTGGTTATGAAATTATGTTACCCCCGCCCCAGCACTCGATGTGACCTGCAGATTGTAATTCTCGTGAGGATCAATCCACTAGTGATGATATTCTCTCGCGAATACACGCATTTGCGTGAACAGAACCGGTGTTATTTACTTAAATTAGTTAATTACTTGATGAAGGCTATCGCGTTATAAGAGAATTCATTCTTTTTCATCTTTAGGGGTAAATCAGTAGAGAAATGTCAGTCAGACTGGTTTTGAGGAGCAGGCCGTGTCAATTTTTAGGGAACTTGTGTTTCTCGTTGCCAAATCTTCATTGACAATCATTTTCCTTTTATAAACAAAAAAAAAATCAATAAATAAAAATTGGCAAGTGCTTCTTTTGGAGAGGGTGGAGTCAAATCTCAAAATTGAATTCCAAAATTTTTTGGTAGAAACCGCAAGCGAAGAAAATCAATAGATTTGAAATTTTGTGTAAGATTTATTTCGTTGTGACTATTAGACGTATAAAAATCTCGAAAAATTTATTTCATCAAGTTATTATTGACGACTTCGAAATGATTTCTTTTATTCAAGCACCCACTTCAACCCAATGTCTCCCATCTCAATAACGACTGTTAGAAGAAATTATCCCTGACCTAATTGGAGACAATTTCCCGCAGAAAGCAATTAAGGAGTCCTTGAGAAAGCACTGTCAAGGTAATGCACCATTTTCTCCTTCAGTTTTTTTAGAATCCATTCAACTGCAGAAAAAAAAATGCATCCAATTTTTTTTTCTTTCCAAAAAATGAGAACTGAATTTTTTCACTCATCTTCAATCCTAACTGCTAAACATTGCTCTCAATGCAATTTATTCAAAGGAATACCCATAGCAATAAATGAAACAAACTTTGAATAAATTTTTCTAAAGATCAATAGTCTACTGCAGTAGAAATGCACTACGAAAAAAATTTCAGGTAAAATAATAATAGTCCCAAAAAGTTGTAAGCATTTTTATGGTATCACTTACTGTAAATAGTACTGATGGAACAACAGATAGCGATAATTATTACGTGTATCAAATGTATATAAAGCGATCGAAGTTTAGTCTGTATTGTCTCAAAGTATATATTGGTTTTTAATAAATGGCACTGAATTAAAATTGAAAAGCAATCCCTTAAAATAATTGTTGCGCAACCGATTCACATTAAAAAACCAGAAACCAATTAAAAAAAGCCCAATCAATAAATAAAAACAGAAATTATTATTCTTACAAGTAGATGAATTATCGAGTGGCGGTATGGTAGAGATTCAGAACAGAGGGTAATGTGGAGCGCTGAGGATGGAATTTACCTCTGAACGATGTCGTTCCTTGGGAAGTCCCTTTCTACCTATTATCCCCAAATTAAAAATTGATACTTGAAATGACAAAGGGATGATGAAGGTAACGAGTCCATTGAAGAATGAATCAAGGGAGATATGCAAAAATAATGAGCAGAAAAAGCCTATTAGGAACATTTTAATGCCCTCGGGTGGATTAGCACTCTTAATTATTTACAAACTGTTTCAAAGCACTTTAGAAAGAGAAGCCCTCGGGCTTCTTTCAGCTCCGCGACATGTCTGCTGAGCTTCCGAGGTAGTTAATGCTTTTAGTTGAACTTGTCCAATGCACTTTGCATTACTCAACATTTCTGGATATTTTTCCTATATTTCGACATACTTCTTCCAACCCACTGCAAGAAAATCGATAGCGGCATTTTATTTGTAGGCAAATCAATAAATTTTCGCGTATCAACAATATTTTATTGAGTCTCCAGTTTTTTAACATACAATAGTTATTCGTAACGCGTTAATTATTGATTTCAGTAATTTCTCATTAATTTATTTGATACGTTACACTGATATGAATTTATGTTTACAATGATACTGTTGAATTTTGTTCTCATCTATTCAATAGCCAAAGGGCAAAGCTCTTCAAGTTCAATTAAATTGCAAAAGTTAAAGTTTTTGAATTTGGAATAAAAAAAATAATAATACGAGATTTTTTGGAGAGAAATTATCCAATTTCAGAAAAAGTCAATGATTTATCAATTGACTTGAATGCTTTTACCGCTTTGTCATCGAATACTAGGACAAACATTCCGAATGTCCTCTCTTCTTAAATCGTGATTATTATTTCTCTGGTCAATGACGATTAACAAACCTCTCCATAACGGAGAGAATAGTGAAACACAATTTGTTCATCAATGAAGAAAGCAACATTAATTGCTTACGATTAATTCATCGTTTATCTTTAATCATTACAATTTCGTCGAAATTTTTATTATTTTTTCATTAGATTTCATTAGGTTCCTCTTTCTCTTCTACTGTTTAGTTTTTTTTTTTTGCTTCTTCAATATTCTTTACTCCAAATATTTGTTTTATAAATATTGTCTCCAAGGTACACGTACGAAACTTAATCCTATGTTATATTGACAATAAATATATTTATACTGCATGTGTATATGGTTTTCGTTTTTATCGTAATTTTGTTGCTATAATTACGTCTATATATTAAGTTTAAATGCCTAGAACGCTAAATGATTTTATTTTCATTATTCGTTTACATGAATTAGAGGTTTGACAATGTCACATTGAAAAAATATATATCAATTTAAAAAGGATAATGATATCTACGTGCGTATTTAGATACATGGATATGTGTAGATAGTTTTTCACTTCTCATATCATTGGATCAAATATTAACTCCTCCTTTTTATTCATCATTTTTTAACATCTTTGAAATTAATTTCAACTTAATAAAGAAATAAAAACAGATTGCATTGAACATGATGATTCTTCTCATGATTATTTGCGCAGTCTCCAAAGCGTCGATGAAGCATGAAGAATATTTACAATAATTGTTTATCAACGATTCTTCATATTTCTCCTCATTTTTCCACGATTTAATCCAACAACTTCATCAACCATAAATATTACATCAGAGTTAACTTTATTTTTACTCGTATCGTTTGGAAATTCAAAAAAAAAAAATAGAAAGCTCTTAAATCAATTTGACGAAAAAAAAAAACAGAAACAGTCTAATAACACAGCTAGTGGTTAAACCTAATTAAAATTAAAAAAAAAATGAAGTCTGATTTCACTACATTAACAAACTCATCATGACTCTCGAGTAAGTTACTAACATTAAAAAAATGATAAATAATAATCTATCACTTTCCTAGATATGGCGAAATAAAACATTCTAATACTTCAAATCTCTCTGAGTGTTTCAACTCGTCTCAACATCCGCTAATGAGAGGGAAATAATCATAAAAAATTCGAGTAGAAAAAAAAAAGAGAAGGAAAAATCCATAGAGGCCTAGAGATCAATGTATTCAATTATCTTCTAACTCTCAATGATTTATTTATCACTACCGAGGAAGCAGAGGTCTGGTGAATTGGATGAGAGTAGAGGAATAATTGTTAATGACTCCTTCAATGAAAAAATCCCTCAGTTCGTATCAGTTATCAGATAAATTTTTTACAGTATGGAGAAGAAAAATAAAGGGGGTAATTTTTTTTAAAGGGGCACAACTTTTTCACTTCGATGTACCGGTGTGTCGTATGCTGGGACACATTTGTAATATTGAGCCGGATAAGACGAATAAATTGTTGTTGATGGCGACAGACGTCCTCGAAATCTTCCTCGAATAACATAAATCATTAGCAGAACGACGAGTAACGTCAGAACAGCAATTAGTGTTATTGGAATTATTCCCCAACTCCGTGACACCTGAGGCTCGCTGTTGGGGTTCTGGAATGATTGAAGAAAATTATCTTCATTAATAATAACAGGAAAATTGAAAGAGCATGAGATAATTCATTATTACTAAGGGAAAATTTCTCACTATCTGATTTCGCGGAGGTTAATTTGGATTAGTAATTAATTATTAATTTTATGAATATTCACGGAAATTCATTTATCTGTGATAAAAATAAAATATGAGATAAAATAAAACGATAAACCATCAATGGGATTTTGTTTTCAGTCTTTCGGTATTATTATTTCTTTTATAATTAATTGGTGATATGTGAAAAAAATTATATTCTCGTAATCCATAAAGTTAATTGAAATTCATTAAAATTCCGTTGATAAAAATGAATATTCCTCATTAAAATGAATTTACGGTGAAACATCGTATCAATTATTATCGGTGAGCTGCAAAACGTAATTTTAATCTCAAATTCAAAAAAAAAAAAAATTGAAAAAAAATTTCGAAAAAATTCAAAAAAAAATTTTAAAAAATCCGAAAAAATTCCAAAAAAATTCAATTTTCGTCGCCAGTGATCCATACATTAAAAAAAATGAATAAGTGACATGGAAGTATATCAGAATATAATTGACAATTGCTAGACGTGGATGAAATAAATATATGTCAGTTCTCTCTATCTGTCAAAGTCCTCATTCAATCAATATGAGTCGAATCCATCGACTAGCCCAAGTGATATACTGTGTAAGTAGCATGAAATGGAAGAACGTGGAGGGATGATTGTGAAAAATCGTCAAGACGCCGTGAAAAGGGTGATAAATGTGATGTCAGTGATCGGAAAGTGGCTTGAAGTCGATAAGTCGAAGTACTGTTATCACAACGGCTTACAATACATCGAAGCGCCAACCATTTTTTCTCCACCAACAAAGTCTGGAAACTACTAAAATATTAACGGAGAAAAAGCGGAAGCTCATGACGTAAATTTGATGACGAGGTAATAAAACAGTTTAAATTCAAATATTACGCTTGCACGATCGTAAATCGTCGCTCAAGTAATGGGATAAAACATATTTTCGAATTTTTTGTGGTGTAGGTTCTATCAATTCATCTTAAATGGAAAATGTGTCTCAATAATAAATATATAATCAATCGTTTTGCGAGTTTAATTGAATTTAATTACGAGTTTATGATGAGAAAAAAAAAATTCTCAGTAGTGCATGAAAAATGAAAAATTTGAAGTAAAAAATTTTGAAATCTTAAATTTTTTATGAGAAATATGAAAAATGTTTGATGTCTGACTTAAAATATTGTACTCCACTTCTGGTATTTTGGTTTTCCCCATTTTCCTCATTTTCACGGAGAAAATATCACAAAATGAAAAGAGAGTCGTGAAATATTGACGGTCATCTCGAATTCAGTTTTAAACAGGTAGTCACTGGAAACTCACCTCACTGATGGGACAAACCGGACAACAGGTGCCAAGTTTTGGTGGCAATGGATTTGAACACGCAATGGAGCACACAGTTTCCTTGCATATCAATCGTCCAAGTGTGTCGCAAGTGCAGGATGTGCAAACATCAGGCTGCCAGGCCGAGCCCTCAGGATGTGTTTCATTTTGATGATCCGTGCAAGTCGAACGACAACGACAAGTCTAGTATCAAAATCAAAAATTTAAATCCACAGCCAAGAGCCAAAACCTAAGAAAATTCCCCAAAAAAAATCACTACCAATCGCTATTTTCTAATAAATCTCTCCAAAGGGGTGAATAAATCCTTTTGATCACATAATAATATGACTATTTCATTATTTCATTCAGACATTTCCTCCTCGTTCTATTTAATTAAAAACATGAAAGAAATTCCAATCCCATTCCCAATAAAAATGCAACGAACAATAAGTGACTGTAAAAAAATGGAGTAATTATTTCAATGAAGGTATGAGAAGAGATAATTTACCAGACATCCACGTCTGTTGAATTTGTATCCATAAGGACATTTCTTCCTGCATCCACTGATGGTTGGGCATCCAGTTGCATGTGGCTTGCACTGACATACCGTACAGTCATTCTGATCCATGATGAGGCCACGCTCACAATGAAGATCACATTTGAGCTCAGGACATACGATACCACCGTCATCTTCCCCTTGATTCGGTGGTGGTACATTTGCAGGTATAACAGAAACGTCTGATTCAATGCTATCCTCACAAGCGCAAACAGGACAACCACCCTGGTCCTTCACGAGCACACAATTGAGACCACAGTGCGGTAGCTCCGGGCAAATTTTGTCCGTTGGATCTGGTCCCGTAGTAGTCTGCAAATAGAAACGACCGAGTAAAAGCATTGAGAACTATGTTCTCAGCAATTTCACGTTTTATCCTCCCATCCCTATCGACCTTCCTTCCCTATTCTCCTCGTCCTTTCAACCTTACTCTGTACCATCATCATTTCCCCTTTTTCATCCTCCTTTACCTCTATCATTTCGTCTAGTCCTTGTATCCTCATCATTTCTCTGTAGTTCCCGTCTCTTTCGTATCAATGAACTGAGAAAATATATTAAAAATGTGATCGACCAACCGTGAATTACCTACGAGATACGGATGAACCCTCGAGGAACTTCCCGGAGTGAAACGTACACCAGATTTATCACTAAGTTTTCGAGGAAAAATGGAGGAGATTCAGTCGAATATTCATTCGTTGAATATGAAAATCCTCATGGAAATTCTGGGTCAGGGTATAATATCTCGGTGAAACGCTTTTTGGGTCTTATTTTTCAGAGGAACTGGGACTCTGGGCACTCGGTAAATAGAAAATAATTAACTGAGTTCTAATTGGCTTCTTGCTGTCTTAATAAGTCCTGGCTTTATCGTAAAAGTTCGCCACGGTAAGAGTTAATCCGGAGGTTCGTTAACGCCCTTCCAATGAAATACGAATCACTTGGAATTTAAGGGGGAGATGAGGGATTGAGGAATCCTTTCGGTTACCCGAAAGGATTCCTCATTCTCTCACCAGACAATTACACATTAAACTTCAAAGAATAGTCGGACTGATCCCATGACTGGATTTCATATTCATTCTTCAGAAAATTAAATAAAATAAATACAGAGACGCAATATTTAATAACTTAGTATTTTATAATAATATAATTGAGGAAATAACTATCACAAAAAAATCGGATAAAAATTCCGCTTCGGGATGAATTAATTCCAGCGATTCCAGGAGGTTTTTTGGAATTAAATTTCATTCCCGGATTGGGGAAAATATAATTTTTACTCTTCACAGGGAAAATTAAAAAAAAAAGACGGTGAGATTGATGTACTCTCGCCTGCCTCGTACTGCTAGAATCGATTGACCTAATCTGTGGAATTCAGCCGATTATTCAATGAAAAATGGAAGCTGTCGGAATAATTGGATATCGTTTCACCTCAGGGTGGGTAAAGAATGAATATTCCAGGAGAACGCATTCTTTCTTGAACAAAGGATTTCCATAAGACCGGAAATAAATATTTTCTCCATCGTCGTTTTACGATTGAAAATGTACGACGGGAATTGTACTAACTCGAGTAGAAAAGAGTGAAGACGGAGATGTTCCGGAAGGATCCAGTTGCACCCAAGGGGTTATATCAGAAACCAGTGATGTTAGGTCAACAATTTGTTTGAAGCCTTCCCATCGATAAGAAAACCGTTATCAATATAGATTTCAAGACGCAGGGAGAAACTCTATAAAAATCACGTGCCTCATTTCGCTCGTAATTGCGGAAAATTTCTCGGTATGATAATTTTTCACGGGAAATTCTTTCCGTACGTTCATCACCACTGATAACTGAAGGACTGAAGGACATGAATATTTTTTTTTTTAACTCAAAGAACTGCTCTAATATTCACGACTCTGCCACACAAATGGAAGAAAACAGTACTTTCAACCTAGAAGATTTACTGCCTTCAATAAAATATTTTCGTCCATTTTAAAAATCGTGAAATCCCTCGATAAATAATTTCGTTTCTACTCCGAGAGAAAATGGTATTCGAACGGGATAAAATCCCTTACGGTTTAAATAAATCATTCAATCATATGATCATTCCATTATCATTATTTCCAAATTGATTAGATTGATTAGATATTAACCCCAAGAAATATCAGATCGAAGGTCATATTTTTGGCGTGTGGAGAAAAAATCTGGAATTAAAAAAAAAATATTCTCGGGTGTCAGCGAAAAAAATTTATGTGCCCCATTGTTATTAATATTTTTAATCCTGAAATTGGATGCAATACCTGAGTAGCTTCCGGACATTGGCAAATCGGGCATCCATCATCATCTTCAGCTCCAAGATGACAAGGTAGCTGACAATTTTCGAGTGATTTACACTCAGATATTGGCACGACAAATGGTACTGTCGTACTAGTATTGCTCTTGGAAATAGTATCATTCCTAGAATCGTGACAGCGTGGACAACATTCCCCAGGCAGTGTTGGCACAGGGTTTTGGCAACTTTTGCACATTGTCGCGTAGCAGGAAACACTACCTCCTTCATTTGACTCCTCGCAGGTACAATTAACGCAGGGATTTTGATCCCAACGATCGCCGATCGCACGTGGTATGCCACTGTGATCAACACAGCCCTTCAATAAGTGACTGTCATCTGCATCGTCCCATGATAGGGGTTCTGAAATTCACCAAAAAATATAAAACACATAAATATCAGTCATAACTACCAAAATTTCCTAATTTTGTGTCTGCGAGGGATCAATTCACTGGAGTCACGAAGGAAATGAAAACAGAAACGATAATTTAGGAGAGTCCAGGGGAGATAAAAAATTAATCGTCATGGACAGCCCTCCTGGGGCTCTAACCACCGCCGCAATTACTTGAGAAGGCTATGGTGTGCCTGCACTATAGTCGAACTTAATGGCCGACCAATCCTCAGAGTTATTTCACTTGTGACAATATCTCAACCACAATATTTAATAAATTCCCCTGAAAGAATGGGAAATAAAAATATTACAAATCATGTGAATTCCTTTGGCAATTTTAATTCATTCGTATTGATAAATCCATTCTGAATAACGATGTGGCAAAATAAATTTAATAGCAGGGGATGGAGGAGAGTGATGGAGCTTTTGTTAAATTGCGTTGGGTACCCAATGCTTCTAGTTAGATCTTGTCACAATCTTCACATGTCGGTCATCATATGGATCATAGTACATCCTGGAGAAACTAGTTTGCTGGGGTTTAGTGGGCATGGAGCATGTATACGACTTGTGTAATTACCTGAGGGAATGCAGTTGTAGATAGGGCAACAGCTGCCAGGTGTGTCGGGTGAAGCTGCCCTCACTTGAATAGGACGCTCACCCTGCGTGCATTTATTCGGTGGACATGATGATATACATCTGCATTCACCATTCTCCGTTGGTACACTGTCTTCTGGGCAAAGTATCCCATGAACTCCTGCAACTTAATTGATCATAATTATTTTAAAATAAAAATAATCCTACATCATTCAAAATGAAATTTGAAAAAATTGCAATAATTTTGGAAAAAAAAATTGAAAAATTGTTCAGCATATTTTTTATAAATAAATATATTTGAGAAATTATTATAGAAATGAATCTATCAACTTTCTTGTGAATCTCTATCATTAAGAATAATATTACTGCTGAGTCGCAACTTTCTTGGAGTTTGTGCAACTCATTATTCGTTCCACCGAATTTCACTTACAAGTCAAGATTAAGTCTGTTAGGTAGACTATATGGAGACGATCATTAACACAAAACCACAACTGTTAACTCCTTGGAAGTTTATTCGACAGCGTCAGGGATTTAGGGCAACGATTTTCTTTGATGTCGCCTATATAAAATATATAAAGCTACAGAATTGAAGATTGTATCACAGAAATCCCATTCCATTCCTGCACTTTATTTACTCCTGACATTTCGTTAGTACGAAACAGCACAAAAGAGCTGCACAAATGCCTGAACATACGGTCACACCTCACGTTTCGTTAAAAAAACGTTAAGCTCTTGAATTATGCCCCAGAGGTTGGCTAGTGAATTGAAATCAAGAAAATTCAGTATCACACGAGGGGGAATTAAATAGTTGAATTTACGACGTACATAGAAGAGAATTAAGGTAAGACAATAAATAGTTCTCCATAAATCTTGAATCGTGCGTTGAAAAAAGAATTCGGATAATGTGACTTGAATTTACTCAAATATTTTCTAAAATTCCTTGACAATTTGAGATTTACATCGTGGATTCTGAATTGTTTAACTATCCACTGTTTAATTCTCCCCATGGACAATGGAAACTTAATAAAAATGGAGGAAATGGATGAGATGGTAGAAATGGGTAAAAGGTATCATTTGTTTCAGAAGACAATGCGCAGAGATCAAAGACTCATTGGGACTTCTCGAAGATTTCACCTGTGAGAGACTGTACTACTGCCGAGAATTGCTTGGCTCGTTTCCATAACCATCTCAAGACCCGATTTCAGTGCGACAAGTGATCTTGAGACAGTATGTTCACGTTTAATTAAAGGTATCTCTTCTCGACTCAGGTGTCACCGTAGTGACACAGGAAAGCCACAGAATTTTCGCCTACGTGCCTCGAGTTCGTTCACCATTCGAGTCTACGTTTAATCAGGATTAACCCAATCTGTCGAGAAGACTGACTTTGGGGATAGCCTCATAACCCATTCATTGTGGTTTGACTCAAGTTCTTAGACCGGGAAAAAAAAACAACTACTTTTCACCAGTACCGAGTGGATTTCTGCATTAAAGATGCACTCGGTTTTTTGTTTACTTTTTTTAATAGAGAGAGACCAATGGGCTTGAGTATGATTTATTCGTCCAATTTATAGTGTTTCGGGAGAGTAGTGGGTGAAAAAGTACAGGAGATTTATTACCCGAGGACGGAGTTCTTGAGTTAAATAAATATTTTCAGGTCTGTGTTTTTTCAATGGGTTTTTTTTTTCAAAAGAATGGATTGAATTTTTTTTTTCAAAAGAATGGATTGAATTTTGGTTGTCGAAATGGAATTTAATATTATTAACTTCATTGAAAATTATTGAAAATATCGTTAAAATAATGAATGCAGAATTCATGAATTGATGATTTATGCGGAAGAACAAAGAGAGTTTAAATTTTTTCAATGTTTTTCACTCGCATAACAATTACTGAATCATATCGCAGTCCGAGTACAACAGTATAATATTTCGATCATATAACTTTTTTTTTGAGTCTGTCTAAATGAATTCGCATCGTGTGGTGAAGTGCAATAAATTTGTGGTTTAATATCAGAGCCCGACATAACGTCATAGACAATCAAACGGATTTCTTGTTTTAAAAGAAATTCGAGTGGAGAAATGGGTCGGAAATTGATGAGATTCTCTCGTGTATTGTAGGATATCACAATGGTTTTCGTTTTTTTTTTGTAGTTCAGTGATTGGTAATGGAAAACACTGGGGGAGCAATTACACAGAGAGATCACTTTTTCATCAATACAATGTGAAATGGAGGAGATGGATCCATATTCTATTCAATCTGTAAAAAAGTCTCTCATTTCAGTGCAGAAAACGAACGGCCATTTTCAATTTTCGTGACTCTCGTTTGAATCAATATGTATTCGGGCTCTGGATTGTTCCACGAAAAAAAAAAAAATACGTTATAAAAATGTTAATCCCAGGATTCCTAAAAATAAAATACTCTAATATCACAATTGTTCGTAATATTTTAATACATTGTGTCGGTAGTTACTGCTATTTGGAAATAACCAGGTCATTTTTATTGCAAAAAAAAAAATATATTTATTGGAGAAAAAGTTCAATTAATGAATATCAGGGAGACTTTACTCCTGAAAATGCTATCGAGTTACTGGATAAATAGAATAAAATCGTTGGAAATGGAGATTCAAGGACGTCTGACCTAACGAAGCCTGTTACTACTCCTTTCTCATACGGAAAAGGCAAATCGTGAAGTACGGGTTTTAAAACGCAATTTATACAGTCTTTTTGAATTCAACAAATTTGAATTCAACTTCAATAAAAACAATCACAAAATTTCTGATTAATTTCGATAAATTCAGAGAGATTGTTGCTTGAGCTTTCAACAATTTCGCGGTTCGTCGATGCCAAATGGATTTGAAAATCGAGAATTACAAGAATTAAAAGAATTTCCCCGAATTTTTTGGTCTCAGTAAAAAATTCTAATAGGTAATCAAAAACTTTCGGTCCCAATGAACAGTATATCTCCATCCGTAGTCTGAATAATTTCTTTTTTTCTCTTTAATTGCTCTCTAGAGACTTAAAACTGCGCCAACTTGAGTTACACGGAACTAGAAAACGAGGCAATCTCACGGGAAACTCGTATTGCACCCTTGCATTCTGCGTTATTCACCAAGATAGTCCACTTGGAATCACGTTTTCCACATCTAGCGATATACCTAATTTTTAATGCACTCTTAGTCCCTCTCACCTCTGCCATTTCTTCGAACGCGTATTTTCATAGTTGGTGGAAAATTTAGCCAATTACGTGCCGAATCTCTTGGTCGACTGGAGTTTTCAGAAAAAAAAAAAAGCTAATGTGTAAGTGATAAGAACTGGGAAAACTTCTGCAAGTGCTCTCGCTTCACTTTTCCATGTTCCCATCCCTTTAAACTTTAATTTCTATTCAACATGAAAAAATATACTTGAGACGAGTTGAATGTTTTTTTCTGAGAATTCTCATTCCAATCGCTAAATCACCCATTTTAAAAGTGGCATCAAGTGTTTTTTATTCCTCAGGTCAAGAAAAATTCACTGACCCATCAAGTGACCAACAAATCGCAAGATTTAATACTATAAACAATATAGAATAATAATTCATAAAATTCCATTATATAATGAATAATAATTTATTTTTCGTTATGAAATTTTCCTTGAAATTTGAAGTGAAAAAAGATTTTCCAAATTATAATAGCAAAGTTAGGGCCAATCTTGGCACAACATTGCCCCAATGTCAACGCAATGTTGGTGCAATATTGGCGCAATGTTGGCGCAATGTTGGAACAAATATTTTTCTACTTGAAGAAAATTTACTGTTGCCACTGCCAATTTCATCCACTCCCTCTTCTTCTTGGCAGACACTGAATAGCACTTCAGCTTCCCTCACTGTCTCTCTTGGTTAGTCTCCTCATTGATTCACATTGCAATGCTTGTTTGCCTCTATGCACACCGCGGAAATGTAATTCACTTTATGTAGTCAGTGTTCATTCCCTGGGGATATTACATGTCGTTGAGGAGAAGGTGTTGCCAAATGGGATTCCTTTGTCCAGATTGTGAAACGAATATTTTAATTAAGAAAACGGGTTAATCGGTTTTACTCAAAAATAACATTTTATTAATCAGTACAAAAAGTAATTGCAGGAATTTCAAATTAATTTTAATTTAGGAATTTGACATTTTTTATTATTTATCGATTTATCGATTTCGTCCTCCTGATTTTTTTATTTTAATGAATTCATCGGGTAATGGCTATTAATTGCTTCCTTTCCCGTTCATGGACAGGTAATGAGTCATGAAATTATCAAGAGGGAAGTATCAAACAATTTTCGATAGCGATTGGAAGTCTCAACATCTGTTTGAGATAATAAAAAGTTCCAGAAAATCCCATGAATATCTGAAAATAATCACAAAATACTTTCCCTCTAAAAATTCATATTTTCCAACCCAAGAGTACTTGAATTTCAAAGTAACAGACAACTGCAGCACGTTTATTTCACTCCAAAACATCAGTCTCTCCTCAAAACACCTTGGAGTGCATCATGTATCATTCCCCAGAGACCAGAATAAATTTCAGAACGATATATACATCGCCGTCCTCTTCATCCCTTTGGAAGTCTCCAAATGAAACTCCACATGAATTCACCGTTGAAAAATAATTCATCCCTTATCCCTTCGAAATCATTCACAGGAATAAAAACCCACGAGAGTACAAAACCGTTTTTTCTCCATTTCAATGATTATAATTTGTCTGAAATTCCGGATCTGCGGAAGAGTGCGAAGGGAATGGAAAAATAAAATGGAGAATGCGATAGAGTAACGGTGGTAACTCATTTAGGGTACAACGGAAGTACAGAGGGTGAAAATGAAAGCAATGAGAGTAACTGAGAGACAAATAGAGAATGAGGTGTAGGTGAAACGTACCGCGTAAGAGCCAGACGGCATTAATTCTTTCCGGGAGCTTTTGTCTATTCTACCAACTTGGCCATTCACATTGCCCTCACCCCCTCTCCACATTTTTATTCTTTTTATTTTGCTAAATGTGATTTTTTTTTCCCCCACTTTTCCCACTTTTCCCACTATTTTCACTTTTCCCATTTTTCCCACTTTTCCTACTATTCCCACTTTTCCCACTTTTCTTACTATTCCCACTTTTCCCACTCTCATAGCTCACCACAACATACGTTGCCACTCTACCCTCAACACACGTTATCCAACTCCACTGACTTTTCTTCTCCTCCACATCTGACAGACATACACTGCAGAATGCTGTATGCATCGTCACTTGTACATAGGTTCATGTACTGAAATGTATGTATATCTCATTGTGAATTCACCACCCGACGGTTGAAATCTACATTTCAATAACGTCCAGGCGAGTAACCCAGAGACCTGGAATTGATGTGGAGAGCCGCAAGGTGACATCAGCCTTTTTGACTCCGATATCCTATTATTAAAATTCACCAATAATTTCTAGTTCTATCTTCTATCTATTCTATTTTTTGGAACGAGGGATTGAAAAAATCTCGGAAATTTCTGAAATGTTTCTTCATTTATTAAAAAAAAGAACTCAATATTTTTTTTTTACCGAATATTCCGCAGGAATAATAAAATTCAATTGATTATCTGAATAATTTTTTTCAAACATTTTAATGAAAAATCCTTCGCCGGAATTTATTTTTCCATGTATTTCGGTTGAATGGAGTCGCAAGAAGGCGCAATTTTCTCCCGCATAAAATTCAAAGGAACGAAGACGAAAAATATTGCAAGGTAAAGAAAAAAAAAATCCAGTTGATTATGGAAAAATGTTGTATTCATAACAACATTACTCAGTCATGGTACGTACAATGCCTTTGGGCGTTCCATCGGGAGGAGCCATTGTGTTTGTATTCCGCGGTGCATTTTTAAACTTTCAGCTGAAAGAATATAAACTTGAGCATCGTGTGTGTAAACAGGGCTCTCTCCCTCAAAAAAATGGATAATACAAAGGGCTGAAGAGAAAGTAATAACGTAAGGCATAAGAAAGAAAAGAATTGAACAAAAGTAGAATGCAATATGGGTTGTAATGAAAATGAACGATCTTCCATTGGAAATATCCAGTATTTATATACTCCATTTTCTTATCTTCCTGTTGCTTAGACCAAGTTCTTTCAATCGGCTTCATAAATAACAATTTACGTGTCTTCGAGCCGTGAATTCAATCCGTAACTTTCAATTTGTTTGGCCCTTCCAACGGGAATAAAATTTCACCAGCAAAATAACTCGGAATAAGAGAAATATACGGGATTTTGGGGCTTACGTGCGTGGACTTGAGTTTTTCCGGAAGCAAAAGGTTGAGGGGTTGATGGAAATACGTGATTTAACGGTATCGTAAGAAATTTTAGACCTCGGGAATTGAATTCGCTGTTGAAGTTGGAAAATGGTACAATCTTTCTGTGTCATCTGTCAAAAGCTTTTTCAAACGATTATTACACGATTTATTATTATTTTTAATATTAAAGCAATTGGTTTTATCGGGATTACTCGTTTTATTGATTCAAGTCCGTCTGTTATCTGTTATCTCTGCTTCACGGAATTTTTTTTTTTTTTATTCAGCGAATTTTTTTTCCTGGAAACTGGAAAAACTATTTATTAAGAAATGCAGATTTTAGGTTTTTTTTCATTTGGAAAAATGTTGATGTTAATTTCAGATTGTGTAACAGTTGCGAGAACAAAGGAATGGATAAAATTCTGATGGTGGATTCCGAGGTGGATCAACAGGCGAGAATTGATGGTGAAATCCGGATGAAATAGTGAACTCCTCGGGGGATACTGATCAGGGACCACAAGCTCAATTGATAGAAAAAACGGGACACAATCAACGGAATAAAAATGAAAAACAAGTTGTTAAATCCAGGACAAAGAGACGTGTCGGATTGCAACACTGGGGAATTAAATTGAAATATATTTCTGCAGGTAATCTCGCAGATATTCATATCGCAAAATAAATTTCAGGAAAATCTTGTCAGAGGATTCCCCCGGAATTCTTAAAAATCCAAACATCCACATGGAGAAAAATAAAAAATAAATAATCCTCGAAAACACTAAATCCTCATTTCCTGATGAACAATAATTATTAATAATCCTGAATGATTATAAATTATTATTATAATTACACCTGTTTTTTTTTTTAAGGAATTCGTGTCAATCGTTGGGAATTTATTATGAATTCACGGACTCTCGATTCCTCGAGTTTCTTCCAGAATCCAAGGAAAATAATCGGCAATGAAACAAGCGAGTAAGTGATGAAAGAAAAAAATAAAAGGAACGGTCGATACGAGGGAGCCATGAATAATGCAGAATGGGTATAGGAGTGGTGCAAGCTTTGATCTTTTGTAGTCGTTGGAAATTTGCGTTTACGAGTTAGCTTTACGCTCGGTGACTAGGAACTATCGGGATAGGTGAGACTACAAAAGCCTTCAAAGGCACCCAACTCTGTGTGCCAACAATACAGTCTATCCCGATATCACCAGCTCTATTTCTTCTTTTCACCACTTAAAACAAAAAGACATTATTGCATAAATTTCCTCCAGCGCAAATATTCCACACTCAATATATTATTAATATCATTACATCTTCTAGCAATAATTATTAATTATTCTTCAATAATCGATATTATTTTATTATCTATTTACAATTACTGATTCGAATTAAATTTTTTTAGGATTTACAACGAATATTTATTCATGGATAAGTTGCTTCGATTTTTTATTCAGTCTAAATCAATAAAATAAAATGAAAAATCTCTAGGATGCACACAGCGAAAGGGAGAATGAAAAAATTATCATTTCGGGTAGTACAAAGCTGGAAGCCAGAAGCGAAGATAGAAAAAAAATGCCAATTCAACTTTTAATAATGACATCACGCAGGACTTGACAGAGTGGAGAGGGATATTCTCCCATTCATTGTCATTCTAGCTATTTCATTAGAGAGAACAAAAAGTATAATCCTCTGGAGAATATCCAGCGCAGAACAATAGTCCAAGTGAACTTGATTCTGCGGACAATTGTCGAGTGTGAAATGCAAATGGAGATTTAGAGGGATAAAATGACAACGGGGTTGAGTATCATGAGCACCCTGATATCGTATATATACCAGGATGAGGGCAAAGGTTTCAAAAGGGAGTAAACTCTCTCTCGCACTTGAGCTTTTGAGAATGGCTAGGAGCGTCAGCTGGTGGTTGTTATATACATTTGCTACCACGATATGCACCAGGTTGCCTTTATGTGTCGATGTGTACAGGTATAGAGAGTCTATCCTGGTTGTCCACCAGTTGGTGGTATCCAACAAGCCCACTTGATCGCTCATCTCTTCTCCCGACAAATCCGTCCTTCCATCAACTATTCATCACACCAGTGCTGCTCAAATTTCCAGTTAAAACGCATCCAAATTTGAATATAAAAAAAACAGAATCATTATTTAACACAAATCCGATAAAAAAAAATTATCTCAGGTATTATTATTGTTTTTAACATCCAAAAATACTCGAAGACAATTGTTTGTTTAATTTATATTCAATGGAAAATTGTGGAATAAATAAGAGAGACATGGGATTTTTAATTTCTATTCGCGTTTTTATAAAATTCTATTTTTTCGTGGTAGTAAAAATTCCCTGAATTTCTGAGGACCTGTAAATTTCATCCGAAACATCTGAACAATGCACGTAAACAAAAAACTTAGCAGAACAAGACATTCAGTTGAAAGTTTCAACGGGTGAAGAAGGAATTCGGAAGTTGAAAAGAACTTTTATAATAAACTCAACAATTGTATTTCAAAGTTTGAAACTTTGTAATGCATTTAATGAATGAAATCATGATAAGATCCGGAATAAATGAATGATCATGCTTGATACATGTTATCTCCATCGTTGCACTTTTAATTGAAATAATGAAATTCGGCTTCCTCAAAGTCACTCTGTACCCTTTGTTAAAAGTTATTCCCACGGTGGAACTAGTTATTAACGTCATACACTGCTCCTCACATTTTCGGTTAATTTCATTCTGCCTTGTTGAGCTTTCAATCGCTTTTACTTGGTAGCTCACGATTTTTTTAATTATACCAGAATATTTTCTGGTACCCACATAGAAACATTTTTTATCTCAACAATATACGAAAAATTATACAGAATTAACATAACATTGAAGATATATTTTATTTTTCTATAATTAAAATAATTCACATTAATACAACATAATTAATATCGTTGATTAAAAAAAAAACTCGAGAGAACATTTTAGAAATTTTTCAAAAATCAAATTTCGACGAATTTTTCGAAATAATATAAATAAATGAATTTTCAAAAATATTTTATAACAGTAATTCGTAATTTTTTTTGTGTTTCAAAAAAATATCTTTTTCATTGAAAAAAAAAATTATTTAATATTTGAAAAATCGAGTTTTTTCGTTTTTGGAATTTTGAAAATTTTGAAAATCCGATTGGATGATAGACTGTATCTTCAGGAGACACTTGGCATATAAAAATATCCGAGTTTTTATTCCAAATACTGTACTGCGTCCACCATAAAATTCCACTCAACCGATATCTGCTTCTACCAGGTTCGTTATTCTCCCTTAAGCATTTCTGCAAATACCTTTCATATTTGAAACGAGTGGGGAAACTGCATCTAGTGCAATGCTACCCACTCTGCATTTGACAATCTGTGTCACGTTTGCGGTATACACATTCAAATTCTATACCGGACTGTCGAAATGTTTCACCGCCCGTACGACAGATGTTACCAATGTCCAAAAGCATTCTGGAACTTCGGGTACTCCAGATTTAACACGGAAAATCCATTGGTTCATTCATTCAAATGGAGAAACAAATATATTTTTTCAATCTAAAGTCTGGACAAAGGCACCCCCTCCTGGCATCAACTCCGAACGCCAATAAATCGCCGGGCAAAAAGCTAAAAACCCCTCGTTCACCACAGAAACCTAAATGAACGTTTAATGAGGGAAACTATTCTCAACAGACACTTGTATTTTTTATTCATTCAGTTGAAATTGCATGGAGGTCAACGGAAAAAGCGACGAATTCTTCGATTTTTCTTGCATCGATCTTTTGGGAGCTCGGGTAAAAAAAAATTGTAATCGTAATATTTTTGAGAAATTTTCAAAAGATTTCTGGGAAACTTAAGAAATTTGGTTTTGAAACAAAAAAATCGGGAAACAAAACAATTGTATTTTTGGGAAATGTTTTGAAAGATTTTTCAAACACTTCTTTCGGAAAATTTTTTT